GACCATACCTAGAGTATTGCATTCAGTTTTGGTCACCACATTATAAAAAAGATGTTGAGACTCTAGAAAAAGTACAGAGAAGAGCAACCAGGATGATTAGGGGACTGGAGGCTAAAACATACAACGAATGGTTGCAGGAACTGGGCTTGGCTAGTCTAGTAAGGAGAAGGATCAGGGGAGACATAGCGGTCTTCCAATATTTGAAGGGCTGCCACAGGGAGGAAGGGGTCAAGCTATTTTCTAAGGCGCCTGTAGGCCAGACAAGGAATAATGGATGGAAACTGAACAAGAAGAGATTTAACCTGGAAATAAGGAGAAATTTTCTGATAGTGAGAACAGTCAACCTATGGAACAGCTTGCCTTCAGAAGTTGCGGGAGCTTCATCACTTGAGTCTTTCAAGAAGAGATTGGACTGCCAGTTATCAGAAATGGTATGGGATCTCCAGCTTGGACAGGGAGTGAGACGAGATGATCTACAACAGGGGTATCAAACTCGCATCATCACAGCGGCATTACGTGATGTATCAGGACTCCCCCCCCTTTGCTAAACTGGGCAGGGCTGGGGCCAGTGTGTGACATATTTGGCCCATGGGTCATGAGTTTTATTTATTTTATTTATTTATTTTATATAAATAATTATTATTAGATAACAGGTCTAAGTATAAACATATATGAAATGGATATGAATAAGAAAAAAAAAGAAACAATAGGACAGGGACGGTAGGCACATTGGTGCGCTTATGCATGCCCCCTACAGACCTCTTAGCAAAGGGGTGAGGTCAATAGTAGACAGTCTTAAGGTTAAAGTTTTTTGGGTTTGGGGAAGAAACAACACAGTCAGGTAGAGTATTCCAGACGTTGACCACTCTGTTGCTGAAGTCGTATTTCCTGCAATCAGCTTTGGTGCGGTTTACCTTGAGTTTATCTCTATTGTGTGCTCTTGTATTGTTTTGGTTGAAGCTGTAGTATTCATTGACAGGTAGGACATTGCAATATATAATTTTATGCACTATACTTAGATTGAATCGAAGGCGGCGTAGTTCTAGGTTGTCTAGGTCTAAAATTTCAAGTCTGGTGGCATAAGGTATTCTGCTATGAATAGAGGAGTAGAGAGCTCCTCTAATATTTCTGGACTTTCTCAATTGTATTAATATCAGATATGTAATGTGGGTTCCAGACTGATGAGCTATATTCAAGTATTGGGCTAGCAAATGTTTTGTATGCTCTAGTTAGTAGAGTGATATTACCAGAGAAAAAGCTATGCAGGAATAGGTTTACAACACTTAATGCCTTTTTGGCTATGTAGTTACAGTGGGCTCTAGTACTTTGATAATTTGAGATGAGTACTCCAAGGTCCTTGACAAAGTTTGGGTCATCAACAAGGTCTTGACTATTCAGCTTGTATTTTATTTTCTGAATTTTTTTTTTTGCCAATATGTAAGACAGAGCATTTATTTGTTGAGATTTGAAGTTGACCATTCTGATACATAGTCAAGGTCTTTTTGAAGGGTAGCAGTATTAGCTTTACATCATTAGCTTTACAGTATTAGCTTTACATCAGAATAGCTTTACATCATTAGCAAAAAGAACTCAGTTGCTCTTAGTATGATCACAGAGATCATTTTTGTAGAGCATGAAGAGAGTTGGTCCCCCAAGTGGTGTCTTGGGGGACACCACTGTTGACAGGTACAGGATTTGATAGGACGCTCCCATTTTTGACCATTTGTTGTCTGTTTGACAGGAATGTTTCTATCCAGTTATGCAGTTGTCCAGAGATACCATAATATTTTAGTTTTAGGAGTAGTTTGTTGTGTACCACTGAATCAAAGGCTTTACAGAAGTCTATGTAGATTGCGTCTATTGCTTTGCCCTGATTGAGTTGTGTAGTCCATATGTTTTTGCAGTGTAAGAATTGCAGATTACAGGATAGTTTTTTTCTGAAACCAAAATGTTTGCTAGAGAGTAGGTTGTTTGTCTCTAAGTGGAAGATAATGGATGGTTAATAATTGATTCCATGACTTTATAGGTGACGCAGCATAAAGAGATTGGTCTGTAATTTTCCACTAGGCTGGGGTCTCCCTTTTTGAAGATGGGGATGACCGTGCCTAGTGACCATAGGTTTGGCAAGGAGCTGGTCCTGAAAGATTTTTTAAAGATTATGCTTAGAGGTTTGGTTATGGCAGTGGATAGCTTTTTTAAGAAGTAGGCACATATTCTGTCCGGTCCAATAGATAGAGATGGTTTTAGATTGTGTAGTGCTTTTTCAACATTGTCTTCTATAAAAGTTTCTGTAAAAAGAGTTAGACATCCCTGACCTATAAGGTCCCTTCCAACTCTGTTAATCTGTAATCTGAGAGAGTATATGTCACCACCTTAATAATGGTACTTCACTTCAGCCTCTAAATGATTTTTCCCAGTGGTTTTCATAGGAGTATTAAATAGCATGGGGGACAATATTGAGTTTTGTGGAAGCATACAGCACAACTGCAGAGGGACCATACAGAAGATCCACAGCACTGTGATCACCATTTGTAACCTTAGCAGATTTTTGACAGGCAAGGTCAATGGGGGAAGCCAGATTCACTTAACAATCATGTGATTCACTTAACAACAGTGATTTGCTTAACAACTGTGCCAAAAAAGATTCACTTATCCACATGACTATCTTAAAGACTGTGCTACAAATTGTCATAAAATTTGATCAGGTCATGTGACAATTTGCTTTAAGTTCTTATAAAGGTTTATAAAAATGATAATGATATATTATATGACTAATTAAAAGGATATACTACAACTAGGTAGTTTTGTCTAACTGAATAAGTTTAACCCTGGTATTTGTACCATGGTTTATATTCTACTGATAAATTGAAAATATGTTATGGAGGAATATGACAGTGGAGACTTTGTGATGTAGTTATCCAAAGCTTAATTGTGATCTGTTTATTGGAAGAAAAAAGTTTTATAAAGGAAATAATGTTTTGATTCTAGAGGGCAATTTTTTTCTTTTCTAGTGATCATTTTGTATGAAATCATCTCTCAATTCCTCCAAATATATTTAATTTTACTTTGTAATATTGTCAAACTTTACACTTTATCAGTGTCATCTTCCATTCCTAATACTAAGCATATAATCACATCTTACATGCTGGTTACAGTCTTCCCACACCAATGATTGCTTGATAAATAAACTAGTTTATTTCCAGATAGACTTTTCCAGCATTTCCAGATCCTGTATTCATAGTACTCTGTCAATAGGGATAAGTAGAAATAACAAAATATATTTTTCTTTACACAGATTTGTTTGTTTGCTCTCTTTGGAATTCATTATTTGGATTTAGTGTTACATTGCTGTTTATCTGGGCTCATTAAACATACATTCAGTTATGGAATAAAATTGCTATTTTTGTTTTCAAAGAACATGATATAAAATGTTACAAATTAAGTATTTTTTCTATTTATGTATTTACTTATTTGCAGTATCGTATTATATGATCAGTTATAGTAAATTACTTGTTCAATAGAAGGATTTGTCTATTTTAACCAGAAATGATCCAACTAATATGCAGGTCAACATCATATACTTAGGTGATACGTCATAATTCTAAGCAAAAAAAAATATTTGCAGCTGTGAGGGAGACATTTAAAAAAAAATCTTAGGATTTTGAATTACTTTTAATATTCCACTTTTTAGAACTAGAAGTTCTGTTTCATAATTCTCATTTTGTAATTCCTGTAAATCTTTTGAGATAGTGTTCATCCTGATCTCTGAATGAATACAAATGTACAGTTGCTTTCAGGAGTAGTTAAATTAACTGTGAATGCAGTAAATCTATTTTTGAATGGATACATATATGACTACACAGCCACATGCTCAAAATCACTTAAGAAGTACTCATTTTTTTTCTCTTAAATGTTACTAAATTATTAACATTGGTTTGTAAAACTAAATGGATCGGAACATGAACAAAATATGTTGTACTTCAGCATGCCTTCTGTAAAATGGTGCTTTTCTTTCCTGAAAACTCTAGGGTATAGCTGATATCCTCAGTCAACATATCCCAAGTTCATCATTAAGTATACATGTTAAGAGTTAGTAAAGCTGTCTTATAAATGTGACCAGATTTAGATCTGTTTACATTCCATAATTTTGAAACTGGTCTGCCTTGCTGGTTTCAGCAGAATGCTTCCTTTTGCTCTGCCCCACCCTAACTGTGCACAGGTCTACTGCTTGCTTTTTACTGACATTGCATTTCCAGTTTGATTGAGGTGTTTGTTTCATCTGCATTTGCTTGTGGTGCTCCTTTTTGGAGATTTCTTGGGGAAGCTGCTGGGAATAGTGGCTCACTTGGGCAGAGAGGGGCATCTGTCACAACTTGTTTAATATTTACATGGAAAATGTCTTTCTCAAAGGCTTTCGGTGCCCCATGTTTTACAGTACATGAACAGTTGGCTAGTCCAGGTGTTTCCTCTCCTCTTTGCGTGATATGTGACTTGGAAATTCAAGAGAAGAGTTGCAGAATGGAAGAGCTAAGGGTTTGTATTTACCTATTCTAACTGCTTAGGAGATAGAAGGGTTTGGGGCACAACAAACGGCTTCCTCTCCCCTTTCCTGGAAACTATATTTTTGAACTGAGGTGTTAAATCAGTATACTTTAATGACTTAACCAGCCTCTGAAATAAAGCATTGATCAGTTTTTGTTTTTAGCCAAAAGTCTGAAAATACTGCCTTACCATCATCATGTAGGTTTAAACACCATAATATCTATTGGACGTTATAATTGTAGTACACTAAATTTCAGCTTTTAAAACTAAATTATTCTTAAAATTATATTTAAATATAAAAATTAATGGTATCTTTTTGCTTTATTCACTCCTAAATGTGAGTGTTTAGTATTTAATTATTGTTACTTTTCATTCATTACTGTTATTATTACTGTTATATTACTGTTAGCTTTTCTAAAATAGCTCAGATTCCTAACGTGCTTTGTGTCTTTTTACAGGACAGTCGGCCCAATATGTCAAGACCTCTGATCACTAGGTCCCCTGCATCTCCTTTGAACAATCAAGGCATCCCCACACCAGCACAACTCACAAAATCCAATGCACCGGTTCATATTGACGTGGGTGGGCACATGTACACCAGCAGCTTGGCCACACTAACTAAATATCCTGAATCAAGGTAATTCTGAGGACTACATTGCATTTTTCCAGAAGCTCTGTTAACTTACTCCCTTTTTTCTTTTAGTTTTTATGCTAACTCTTTATTTGGTATTAAATCTTTTCATGTAAAAGTATGACCCAAGTTTCTGGGTGCCTTAAACTGGTTGTTAGAAAACCTTTTACTAAAGGAAACCCAACAATGTTTCTTTGCTCAAGAGCCACTTAATTTGCATCATATGCCTGAATTACATCATTCCATGTTGATATCTTGTATTATATTTTTCAACACATCTCCTGACAACTTGTGTTGTTTCTACGCTATTATGTTTTGATGGGAAACTAATATTTTTCATAATTAATGATGCAACTGTTAAAAAAGCTAAATGGTATTTTGGGGTATTGAAAAAAAAACGGAGATATCTTAAGCACTGTGTATATACAAAAGCGGGAGTCGACACATTTTCAAAGGACAGTGCCAGAACCAGTGGATTAAAATTATAAGGAAGTAAGCTCAACTAGGCATTGGGAGGAACTTTGCAACTGTACAAGCTATCAGTCAATGGAACAGACTGCCACATGATATGGTGAGTTCTCTTTTACAGTAGGTCTTCAGACAAAGGCTGGATGATCATCTGTTACAGATATGCTAGTGGATTTTTTCATTGAACAATGGGTTGGACTAAATGACCTATCTGGTCATTTGCTATAATTTTATTATTATACTTTACAGTAAAGTGGCTTTTGCATTGTTGTTCTTTTCATATGGATGTCTGCATTTTTCAGACAACAGATGTATTAATAAGAGTCTGCCCTAAAACATCCTCTTACTATCTAAATCAATGTATCCAGTCAGTTAAAACAAGAAAGAGATGCTGTTACTTCCTTGAAGCTATTTTATCCCGGAAGCTCCTTAGACCAAGCTGCCTCAAAATAATTATGGTAGTTGCTAGACTTTTCTGTGTAGCTCCATAAAATTAATAAACAAAAGCATCTGGTATGCAGCAAGTTTGTAATACCAACAGGACACAGTTTTTAAATCATTCAATCATGCAGCAAAAGAAAAAATAGCAAAAAGAAAAAGGAACAGCTCTCTTATTCTAACCTAACAGCACAAACTTTCATAGTCTCTGAAAATCAAAAGATAATAATTCAAAAGAGATTATTAATTAAATAGTGCTTATTTTATCAGATTCTCAAATAGCTCACAAATTGATGGCTAAGTGAAACCGTGATTGCTTACAAACTTACTTCAGTTTTCCTTTGCTTTACAGATCTGCAAAGGTCGTAAATGCAAGGTTTGGTTGTAGAATAGAATAGAATACTTTTATTGGCCAAGTGTGATTGGACACACAAGGAATTTGTCTTGGTGTAAATACTCTCAGTATACATAAAATAAAAGATACACTCATCAGGAGTCGAGAATCATAAGATACGACACTTAATGATAGTCATAGGTTACAATAAGCAATCAATAATACTAGGAAACAATATAAATTGTAAGTATACAAGTGACAAAGTTACAGTCATACAGTCACAAGTGGGAGGGGATGGGCGATAAGCAGTGATGACAAGATTTAACAGTAATAGTAGTGCAGATTTTGTAATAGTTGAACAGGGTTGAGGGAATTATTTCTTTAGCAGAGTGATGGCTTTCGGGAACTTGTGTCTAGTTGTTCTGGTGTGCAGTGTTCTATAGTGTAAAGTTCATTATTTTCATAACTAAGCAGTCACTAAATGAGGCAATCTTTAAGCAAATTGTAAAGTAACCAAATATATTAATATATTTCCTTGCATCAGTTTTCTTTTCTTCAGAAATATTGCATCGTTTATTTTTAGAAAACATTATTAAATCTGTTGATGACAGATTGGGGGAAGGACTGTAGATTTCTAGGATTTGGATTTGGAATTCACTATTTCCACTTCTTTTATAAAATATGAAAATTGTACAATTTGTAGGGAGAGCACAATATAATTAAGAAACAAAAAATAGTAAAAGTCCCTGAAATACTTGACATAATAAAGCAACAGCAGAAAATAACACAGTTGAAAATAACACCAATTTTGTCAAGCTGGATTATGTCGTTCTTGGGTGATCCAGTCTGACAAAAATTCAGAATATATACTATGTATTATATGATTACATAATCTAATATATAATGCTTAATAATACATGTAAGGATATAGTGACTTTTTTCTGACTAACAAATATGCATAAATGTTAAGGTAAATGTAATGATTTTCCTCACTAAGAAAACCCTATTGGCTATTTTGCTATGTTAGTTTTCTATTTCTTCTACCCTATTGCAACCAAAATCTTGGAAGGGTTCTTTACAATATAAGTTGTTTTCATTTAATCTTACCTTCACAGTCCAGCTGGGTATATCAAATATGCCCTCTTGTAGTTAGCATACATTTTAATTGCTAGCATTAGTTGCATTATTCAATTTAACATGACTTTTATTAAAAAAAACTATACAATGTGATTTTATTTTAAATTTCTTTTTTGATCTTTGAAATATCTATATTTGTCTTGTTAAAATTAATATCACTATTATAATCAGGAATAAAAGCTATTGCACTGTTTACACAATTGGTCTCTGCCCTTTTCAGAGAAATTTAAGATTTTAGCTCTATATTCTTCAGCATTAAATTATTGTAAAAGTCATTTTAGCTATGACTAATAGAGAAGAGCTATGGCAAAATGGGTAAGTATTATACAGGTAGTTCTCACTTAACTGCAATTGTTGGAATCAGCAATTCTGTTGCTTAGATGGTTAAGCAAATCATTACATGGCAGACTTATGACATCTGTTCTATTGCAGTTGTTAAGTGAATTACTTTACACTATATAGAATAGTGACCATGACTTAAAATTTGTTGTCTGCTTCTCAGTTGACTTTGCCCGTCGGAAGCCAGTTGTAAAACTCACACAGTGAGGCAGGATTGCTACAACCATCATAAGTTTGAGGATTACTTTTTCAGAGCCATCATAAATTTGAATGGTTACTAAAATAGGTAGTCATTAACCAAGAACTAGTTATAATGCCTCCTCAGAAACTAATGGCTAGAGCAATTACTGACTCAAATAACAAGTTCTGCTTTGCTGATGGGAATTGCAGTGACTGAGTATTTTCAGATATTAATGATATGTGAAAGTTCTGAATTGTAGCTGGCATATGCTGTTGCTTCTGAATAAAGACATATTGAGTTGTGTCCTGGCTACATATTGTATTCACTTTTATATTCCTGAACTTGGTATCATGTGTTATCACGTTTCTATCCTGTTCCTGCTCCAAATATTATTTTACTTTATTTTGTCAACGTATTATTTATTCATTTATTGTATTTTTTGATCTTTAGAAAGGCTGAGAACAATTTATATAATATTTTTATCTCCAGTTTTGTCCCCACAATTCTTCTACCTCAGATGCTGAGCTTTTTTAAAACTGAAGAAAAGGCAACTCTGGCTTCTTCATGGCTCCTCATTCATTATTCTGCTCTCCCCTTCCTTTGCCATTGATTGTGAGGAAGTCAGCACATACACTGTATCTCAGACTTTCAATCCCAATATTTTAGAGGATATAACTAAAAGAACTTAAAGGTGCTTTTTCAAGAAGCAACTGGACTTTCTGGTTTTTCTTTGAAGATGTTTCGCTTCTTCAGAAGCTTCTTGGATAAGAAGCAAAAATCGTCGAAGAAAAACCAGAAAGTCCAGTTGCCTCTTGAAAAAAAGGACCTTTGGGACAAGTGGGATACTTTTTCTTTTTTCCTGCTTCGTTTAAAATGCAGTTTCTATAAAAGATATGGCCTATGCATTGACTAGCAGATATTTATAGGGCTACTGTCAATAAGCAGGATACCTTCTACTTACAGATTTTGGCCATAAATCTTCAGTATTTTGAAGCATAATAATTAAATATTTGCTTCTGAGAAATATTTCTAAACTGCATCCAGTACATTTCAAAATGAAAAATCTTATGCAGGTATTTCCTAAATTGCTATATAGTTGCTAAGTAATTTAATGTACAATGTCTATATAATTGCAGTATTAAACAGATTCATAACTTTGCAGCCAACACCCATGGCCACCCACAGGGCATGTTTGAAGCTTCAGGATATAGCTGCCAAGTTCCAGAATGTTTCTGGCTGGCTCTAGTCCACCTTTTTGTTTGCTTTGTGTTTGGAAAAGTTTATCCTTTGAGAGATTTGTTTACAAGTGCTTAGTTAAGTGGATTGTGAAAAGATCAAGATCTTTTGGGTTCAATGCCATTTTCTTCAAACTGATATTTTAGCAATCAAAACTTTATTTAATTATATGTAGCGCTGATGATTACATATCAGTAACCTCCTCTTTTAAGATTTTGTTATTGTTGTTGCTACTGTTTTATGGCCTACATGGTTTTTATATGATTGCTGGTGCAGGCCGATATATGTGTCCAGGACAGCACAATTCTCTAGATTCTATAAGTGCATTTTTGAGAGCACCATTTAATATAAATTTTCATCTCAATTATTCTGAAGGAGTTAAGTTTTTTTTAAAGTACTCAGTGTGATCAAAATTTTAATTGCCATGGCAAGTTTTCCTACTAATGAATAATATAACCTTTAGAATAAATGAAATTTAATTCCTTGGGTTTTTAGCAGTGGCCATGCTAGTTTGGATGTGAGAGTTGGTCCATATAGCATCAGATTTGGAAAAGCTGCTGTATTCAGTTTAGAATAAAATAGAAGCTAGGGAGATAACATCTATAGATCTTGGAACATATATGCTTTTCTACTGATAGTTTTAAAAAGAGAAAAAATGTCATAGATTGGGATAAGTCAGATTGAATATCTTGATTAGGGAAAGTTTTAGTCACAAAGCAAGCCAATAATAGGCAAGTAGACAGAAGTTTAGTAATGTTTAGTTGGAAAAAATAGAAAGAATAGAAGAAATAAAAAGAATGAAAAACTGCATTGCATTTTTTAAAAACTGGATTAAAAATTGAATGCAATTGATTGCAGACTGGATTATATGAA